TCATGTAAGTTTAATCGATCATTGAAAAAAGTAATTTATTCATCATAATAGTTGGCGTATAGATTATTTGCAAACACAAACTAATCTCCATTTCACCTATTATACCTAAAAGCGACAAACGCCGTCAATTAAGTCTAATTGATTCCCAATCTTAGAACAAACGTTTAAGATTCAAGGCTCAATTGCATTAATCTTTGTGAATTATCAGCCAACACGAATAATATTTCCCAAACGGGTGAATATTCATTCGTATCTATATTTTTCTAGATGGCCGCTTTGTAAGCACCTAGGCACTACTATAATGAACCTTAATTTCAACAAATAGGACTTCAACTAGCAATAAACTCACAAGAATAGTAAATAAGTATGCATCCAAATTAACTAATCTCTTGAATTCAACTGAAATTGATTCACAAAAATATAGAATACTATGACAAATAAATCATTAAGCACAAAAATCTCACGAATTAAACTACAGAGTATTAACTTGGAATCGGAAAACTAAGGGCCTGTTTACTAACAGAAATATTTTCCTGTTGTTTTCTACTTCTGTTTTTCGTTCTCCAATTTTCTATTTTTATTTTTCAGTTTTTCTATCTCCAATTTTCTGTTTCTATTTTTTAGTTTTCCATTTTCAAATTTGAAAACATGTTCATCAATTTTTTCACACAGGTCTCCAATTCCACACCCTTGACCCCCTACCTCTACCCTTACCACGATCTTACACTCTACCCATACTCCACCACAACCCTTCATACCCACCCATACATACTCGTAGGGGTCGGGTAGGGAAGTTATGGGTGGGAGTGGGGTAAGGGGTATGGTCGGGGTGGGGTGGTAAGGTCTAGGGATAGGGGGTTGGGTGGGGGTAGTGGGTGGGTTAGGGTCGTGGTTAGGGTTAAGGGTGGGGTAGTGGGTAGGGTTGGGGTAAGGTAGGGGTAGGTAGTTGGGATACGATGGCGGTAGGGTGGGGTCGGGGTAGGGAAGGGGTAGGATGACGGTAAGGGTGAGGGTAGTGGGTAGGGTTTGGGGTTGGGGTAAGGTGGGGGTAGGGTAGGGAGTTGGGATAAGATGGCGGTAGGGTGGGTCGGGACCAGGGTGGGACCGGGGTAGGGAAGGGGTAGGGTGGAGGGTAGGATGGCGGTAAGGGTGGGGGTAGTGGGTAGGGTTTGGGGTTGGGGTAAGGTAGGGGTAGGGTAGGGAGTTGGGATAGGATGGCGGTAGGGTGGGCCCGAGATCCGGGTGGGGTCGAGGTAGGGTAGGGTGGGGGTAGCATGGCGGTATGAGGGTGGGGGTAGGATGGCGGTGGGGTGGGGCCGAGGTAGGAGGCATGTGGTAAGGGGTAAGGTAGGGGTTGTTGGAGGAAATTCGGCCGGATATACCTGCAAAAATAACGTTAGAAAATAATCTAGCTCGAGACGCGTCAGACGCTGTCCTCAAGAAAGTATTTCCGACTAGCGAAAACCTTTCCCCAAGATATAACGAGCTCTTCGGCGTAAGCCGGTAACAGAACAACGAGAGTGAATATTATATTAATCCAGCAGAGTGAAAAAATAGTAGAGAATGTTTTAGCTCAAGAATATTTTTCGTATCAGTGTCAGTAGCTCATAGCCGAAACACACACATATATATATCCATGCAAACGTCGAACGTTGTTGGCGAGATAAATGAGTTTAATGAGTTAGCATTAAAGCTAACGTTCGGATGCATGATTAATAATAATAATAACATTATAAACGTTGGTGTACAACTTTAATTTCATTCCACTCATTGAACATTAAAGAGTGTTAACGTTGCCAAAGTATTATTATAACATAAATGCTTAACGTTTTTATTTTTAAGAGCTCAATCAGTCATTCAATATTTTTAATGGAATGTACGAAAATGTAAATTTGATTAATAAAATAATTATACTATTGGATAATAAGAGATAATAATTTTAGATACTTTATTCATTTGAAATATTCCCAATTATTCCAACAATCCCCCACATATTTCAAATGAATAATTTTTAGATTTTGAAAATAGTTTAGAAAATTTTCTGCTGGATTAAAGGAATGAGACTTTAAGTTTGGTGTCCGTAGACTATGAACCAAACCGAGACGATTAAGTCTTAATAAACCGAGCTTTTGGTGAAACATATAGTTTCTATGAACCAACAAGCCACTATTGGTAAATCAGGGTCTTAACGGTCGTGTCTCACCCTGCACAATTTCTCGTTATTACGCCGTTGTGCGCCGTAAAGCCATGCGCGTGCTTGGTTTTCATGAGTGCTCTAGAAGTTTTGTCATGCTTCATGGAGGCGGCCTCACCTCACACTCATATAGGTGACATCATCAAGTGTGTACCGCTTTTGCACACCACCCTAAAATTAAGGGCTATGATAATCATTAAGAGCTTTTAGCTCATCCTCTCAAAGTATGCGGTTTCTAGCCTATATCTCACATCATGGAAATGGACAACTTCAGTTAGGCTAGCAGAACTAAATGGGAGACTTGTTATTACCCATATGAACTTGCTTCATGGGATCTCCAATCACACAAGTTGGGTTCCCATCCCCATTCGTTTCAAGTGACACTAGTCCCATTTCCTTAGATGTTTCGGTTATTAATTTTCGTCCTAGGGCTTTTGTCAAAGGATCCGCTAAATTTCCTTGTGACCTCACAAAATTAATGGACACAATTCCATTCTTCAATAATCGTTTAATGACTTTATGCCTTAAACGAATGTGTCTATTCTTCCCATTATAACACATTTTCTTAGCAGTATCTATTGCACTTCTGCAATCACAATGAATAGACACAGATGGTATTGGTTTTGCACCAACCGGAATTTCTGCTAAGAAAGATTTCAACCACTCCGCTTCACTACAGGCTACTTCCAAAGCAATAAGCTCGGACTCCATAGTGGATCTAGAAATTATAGTTTGTTTGGTTGATTTCCACGTAATGGCACCACCTCCAAGGGTGAATATATATCCAGTGTTGGATTTTATCTCATCTGAGTCAGAGACCCAGTTAGCATCGCTGTATCCCTCTAGTACAGCGGGTATCCCACTATAAAATATACCATAATTAATGGTACCTCTCAAATATCTAAGTAACCGCCTCAACGCGGTCCAATGATCCCCACTTGGATTATGAGTATATCTACTCAATCTTCCGACAGCATAAGCTATGTCGGGCCTCGTATAATTCATCAAGTGTAATAAACTTCCAATAATTTGGGAATACTCATATTGAGCCTCGGGATCACCTCTATGTTTTTTCAAATGTGTATGAGAGTCATAAGGGGTGCTCACGGGGCTGACATCGAAATGTCCAAACCTCTTTAGAAGTTTTTCAGCATAATGCTCTTGAGATAGTATAATACCATCATCCTTCCTTATGACTTTCATACCCAAAATCACTTTTGCTTCCCCCAAATCTTTCATAACAAATTTTGAAGCAAGAAAGGATTTTGTCTCAATTATTAACTCAAGGTTGCTACTAAAAATTAACATATCATCCACATATAAGCAAATAATAATGCACACACCATTTTCACATTTAGTGTATACACACTTATCTACTTCTAGTGAGGTAAAACCATGAGCAAATAACACTTCATCAAATTTTTCATTCCATTGTTTTGGAGCTTGTTTCAAACCATATAAAGATTTGATCAACTTACACACTTTGTGTTCCTGACCAATAACTATATGACCCTCCGGTTGCACCATATAAATTTCTTCCTCTAGCTCACCATTTAAAAACGCAGTTTTAACATCCATTTGATGGACAAAAAGTTTGTGAATAGAAGCCAAGGCAATTAAAGTTCGTATAGAAGAAATACGCGTTACCGGTGCAAATGTGTCAAAATAATCAACATCTTGCTTTTGAGAAAACCCTTTTGCCACAAGCCTCGCTTTGTATTTCTCAATTGAACCATCCGGATTTAATTTCTTTTTAAAAATCCATTTGCATCCGATTGGTTTGCAGCCTTTCGGTAAATCGGTTAAAATCCAAGTTTTATTTTGTTTGATAGAATCAATTTCATTTTGTATGGCCTCAAGCCAAAAAAAAGCTTCTTTGGAAGAAATAGCTTGTGAGTAAGTTAAAGGTTCATCATTAACAAGATATGTATAAAAATCATTTCCAAAAGATTTTTCTATCCTTGGCCTCTTACTTCTTCTCAAAAGAGAAGGTTCATCACTAAAAGAATCATTTTCTTTTAATGGCTCACTATCACTAGAGGGTTCATCATTAAAGGTTTCATTTCCTTGTAATGGGTCATACTTACTATATGGTGCAACGGTCGTGTGTTCTCGTTTCAAAGGAAACACATTTTCAAAAAATTCAGCATTTTTTGTTTCAACAATTGTATCACATTCAAGCACATCACTTTGCAAAACAAGGAATCTATAAGCAGCACTAGATTCAGCATAACCAATAAACATGCAATCAGAAGTCTTAGAACCAATTTTCCTCTTCTTAGGATCAGGCAATAAGACTTTAGCTAAACACCCCCACACTTTCAAATATTTCAAATTAGGCGCATGACCTTTCCACAATTCATAAGGGGTTTTCTTATTGTGCTTATAGGGTATCCTATTTTGTAGGTGACATGCAGAAAGAATAGCCTCCCCCCAAAGATTATCAGGTGCACCAGAACTGATTAAAAGAGCATTCATCATATCTTTTAGTGTCCTATTTTTTCTTTCAGCTATTCCATTAGATTCGGGTGAATATGGCGGAGTAACCTCATGAATAATCCCTTCTTTTTCACAAAAATCATTTAATAAAATAAACTCACCCCCTCTATCCGATCTAACTCTCTTAATCTTTTTATTTAATTGATTTTCTACCTCGGATTTATACACTAAAAATTTATCAAAAGCCTCATCTTTATTTTTAAGCAAATAAACTTTAGTGTATCTAGAAAAATCATCTATAAAGGTGACATAATATTTTTTACCACCTCTAGTCATGGTATTTTTTAAATCACCTAAATCCGTGTGAATTAAACTAAGCAATTCCGATTCCCTATATATGGAGGGACAATGTTTTTTAGTTAGTTTAGATTGAACACAAACGTCACATTTTTCATGTGTCGTTTTATTTTTAAAAGAAATCAAACCACAATCATTTAGCATTTTAATATAAGAATTACTTGCATGTCCTAATCTAGCATGCCACACATCATAAGAATCAATTAAATAAACAGAAGCATTATCATGCAATATTTCAGAAATGTCAAGTATATAAAGTCCTTTCTTACAATAGCCATTTCCCACAAGAACATCATTTTTGGTCATAACAAAATTATCACAACCAAAAGAAACTTTAACCCCAACTTTTCCCAAGAGATAAACAGAAACTAAATTAGTCCGAATCTCGGGCACATGAAGCACATCATTTAGTGATAAAGTTTTCCCCGATGTGAGTTTAAGAAGAACTCTGCCTTTTCCATGCACCTTAACGGTTTTAGAGTCCGCTAGGTACACGAGCTCTTCACCATCTCCTATAATAGTATAGGAGGTAAAAGCATTTTTGTTTTTACAAACATGCTTGGTAGCTCCGGAGTCTACCACCCACTCATTCACATCATTAGTTTTACAACTTTGAGAAACAACTGCAATAAAATTATCATCACTACTAACCAAGTTTAAACTTGATTTTAGTGGGTTGTTGTTTTCCATAGTTGTCATTTTACCACTAAATAAAGGAATATTATTTTTCTTAAAAAATGGTGTTAAAGTATGGCTTATTGTAAGTAGGGAAGTGAAAAGAGTAAGCATTATACGTAGAGATATATCCAAATACCAGTCCAATTCGCACCACACATGCAAAAATAACATAGCCATGATGAGTGCAGCGACAACGCCTTGTGAGATCACACGTGCAAACATATCCGACGCCAAATACTTTCTTGAGATTGTTGGAGGAAATTCGGCCGGATATACCTGCAAAAATAACGTTAGAAAATAATCTAGCTCGAGACGCGTCAGACGCTGTCCTCAAGAAAGTATTTCCGACTAGCGAAAACCTTTCCCCAAGATATAACGAGCTCTTCGGCGTAAGCCGGTAACAGAACAACGAGAGTGAATATTATATTAATCCAGCAGAGTGAAAAAATAGTAGAGAATGTTTTAGCTCAAGAATATTTTTCGTATCAGTGTCAGTAGCTCATAGCCGAAACACACACATATATATATCCATGCAAACGTCGAACGTTGTTGGCGAGATAAATGAGTTTAATGAGTTAGCATTAAAGCTAACGTTCGGATGCATGATTAATAATAATAATAACATTATAAACGTTGGTGTACAACTTTAATTTCATTCCACTCATTGAACATTAAAGAGTGTTAACGTTGCCAAAGTATTATTATAACATAAATGCTTAACGTTTTTATTTTTAAGAGCTCAATCAGTCATTCAATATTTTTAATGGAATGTACGAAAATGTAAATTTGATTAATAAAATAATTATACTATTGGATAATAAGAGATAATAATTTTAGATACTTTATTCATTTGAAATATTCCCAATTATTCCAACAGGGGTAAGTGGTAATATACGAGGGGTGGGAGTAGGGTAGGGTGGGTCGGGTCGAGGTGGTAGGGGTGGCGGTAGGGTAGGGTGGATCGAGGTGGGTTCGAGGTGGTAGGGGGTGTCGGTAGGGTAGGGTGGATCGGGGTGGGGCCGAGGTTGGGGCATGTGGTGGGGGTGGGGTAAGGTCATTATAGGAAAAAAAGGGTACGCGGGGTGGGGGTTAGGTGGGTAGGGTAGGGTAGGGGTAAGGGGTAAGGTACGAGGATGGAGGTACCGGAATGGAATCGACATCGGAGCGGGACCGGACCCACCACTAGGTGTAAGTATGCAAATTCATTGCAAAGGCACTGTAGCATCTGCGTTTTCCAAATTTGGAAAACTAGTAAAAGTCACTTCTCCAAATCATTAAGGAAAAGAGAGACATGTTTCATTTTTTCCGTTTTGGAAAACGATTTGGTAAGCGCGTTTTTCTTTTTTCCTTTCTCCAGTTTTCCAGGAATATCTTTGGTAAACACGTTTCCTGTTTTCTGTTTTCCAGTTTTCCAGTTTTCTGGAAAATTGGAAAATATTTCTGTTAGTAAACAGGCCCTAAAGGTCTAGCTACTGGAATTCATCTATCAACAAAACAGAATTAAATTAAACTAAAAGTTGCAGAATTTAAAGATGGAAAACTGCCCCAAGGATGAGGATCGGTTTTCTGCGTTTCTGGTTCACACCCTGCTCGCTTCTCCTCTGTCTCGTTCCCTTCTCGCTGCTGCGTTTACTCTTTTTCTTCCTCTTTCTTGCTGCGTTTTTCTCTTCTTTTTGCTCTATTTATTTTTGGTGCAGCCGCCCTATTCGAATCCCTTCATCTCCGCTCGCAAATCCCTCTTTCAGTTGTTGCAATCCCGAAACTTTCTCAACTGATCAAAGCTGATTGAGAAACTCCCGTTTCTTTTCTTTTTTCCTTCCTGATTTCTTGCCTTCTTTCTAAACGTTGGTTTCCTCCTTGGGCTTGTGCGTTTTTGCTGCAAGTAAAAGAAAAGAAGAATCCTTATCTAATTAAATGAAAGGCACGTGCACAGCCACTAGCTCCCACTTAGAAGACTAAATAAAATTTGTCTAAAAATGTCAAATGACCATACTAAACAAAATGACTTGCTTAAAATAAAATGAATTAAGAGCCAATTTTGAGAATAAAAACAATTATCGGGACCTCTTAAATTTGTAAAAATAGCAGCAAATAAATGCCCAAATTTTTATATATATAATCATACTCTCATATTTCAGTTTGGGGGATTCGAAACAGTCCCCACTTTTGTTCTTTGCTGGATTAATATTTTATACTCTCTGATAGAGTATTAATTCTAGAGAGAAGTGAGAGCTAGAGAGAGAAAGTGAGTAATTATATTTCTCAACCCCCTATAACTAGCCCCAAGGGGTCTATTTATAGGTAAAAATGTGGATTTGGGCTCCTAGCCATGGGCTTAGGAGGCTCATTACAATAATCATGCCTTCTTTGGGCGAAATAAGGCCACTAATGGGCTGAGTACAATACTTAGCAAATAAAGTAGAGAAATGCATTCTGCTAGGAAGAGGCCTGGCCGATGCGGTGTACTTTGGCCGATGCGGTCCCATGGCCGATGCGGTCCATGGGCCGATGTGGCCCGGAGTCCAGGTGCGCTTCCTGGGCCGGTTTGATTTCTGGCCGATGCGGACCCCCACAGGGCCGAAGGGCCACGTGGATGTTGTTCTGGTCATCGTTGACTTGAGCATGTGGGTCATGGGTTCCAGGCCCATATACTCTATCACTCTCGTTGTTCTGTTACCGGCACCTTTGTCCCCTATTTTTATTTTGGTTTTATATTTGAAAATATTTCTATTGTAATAGTAACTAGTATTGAACCCGTGCGATGCACGGGATAATAATGTTTTTGTGTTGTTATGGTTATTAGTTATTTAAATATGTTTCTGATAATGTATTAATTTGAATAAAAGTGTAAGTAACAAAATATACAAATAACCAAATTAAATCAAATACTAATTTGTTGATTTGTACAAACTAATTTGTAATTACTTCACAACCTATATTAACAATCTAATTATTCTATTTAGTTATAAAAATAAAAATTAGTTATACTTATAATTTTTGTGAACACTTTTAAAAGAGTGCACAAGGTGAACACTTTTAAAATATTTTGAATATATAACTAACCGAGCAATCAGCTAATGGAGTCAAAAGTTGATCAATTTAATTAAATTCAACTTATTCAATCAATTTTAATACCATCACACATGTTTTTGTTTCTCCATTATTTGTTTCTCCACCAAGTTATATTCAAGAGATTTCATGTTCTCATTTCTTAATTTTTATCTTCAATTCTTATTTGAAATAGGAAAAATTGATAGTAATAATCCCAACTATTGGCGGTCCGCCCATAATAATCCCACGTATCGATTATTTCAGAATAATCCCAACTTTAGGGACCTTCCGTCAATAATGGTCCCTATAAATAAATTCTTGTAGTTTTAAAGTGGATGAGAAGAGATATAGCAAGTAATCCTAACTTTTAATTTTTACGCTTAATTTCTATTTAAAAACCACTTGTTGTAGAAGGTAATATCTGGTCATTGACCATTATTGGCGGACGGTCAATATAGTTGAGATTATAAAAAAATAATCAATAGTTGAGATTATTGTCGGCGGACCGACAATAGTTGCGATTATTATATTCAATTTTTCCTTTGAAATATGGGTCAAATTTAATAAAATTATACGGGTAAATGACAAAGGGAGTGCCGATAATTTTTTCCTTTGCACAAAGAGAAGCCCATATATTTCATTTTGTTTTTGGCATGCACAGATAGTCCTTTGGATTTTTATTAGCACAAATTCATTACAATTAATTCTGGTCTATAAAAATTTTTAGGTTGATTTTTATCCAAATGTTTTCACGCCTACGTTTCAATGTGTAGGGGTACTCTCCAGATGCCCGCTCCTCCCCTTTCCACACAACCGCCTAAATCATACACACCTCATCACCTACACTTTCTTCATAACCGCCTTCTCACAAAAGGTATTTTTTTTTCTAAAGGTATATTTATTCTATAAACTAGTATTGTACCCGTGCGATGCACGACATATTAATATACGAAATATATATTTTTGTTTACATTTGAAATTTAAATATGGTAATAATAAGACAAAAATGTACTCTAGATACCTACGAAGATTTGAGGCTATAATTATTTTTTTCTATGTATTACAAAGGTTTGGTAACTTGGCGTACTATAACATACTCCCTCCGTCCCGCTAAGAACTTCCTACTTTGACCTACACACATATTTAAGAAATAAATTTGACTTTAGTACATTGTTTCGACACTGTTTAACATTGTTTTGCACTGTTCGACACTGTTTTGATGTAGGATAACTTTCCATTTAGGAAAATGAGAAGATCATTTTGGGACGGCTAAAAAAGGAAAGCAGAAAGATCTTAGTGGACAGAGGGAGTATATAGTTGTTTGTGACAAAAAAATGCGATATTTCTATAATCAATTTCCATGAGAAAAATATTAGCATTGTCTCATATATGCTAAAATCTATATGACATTCTAACATATAGAGTGACTATGACTAAAGTTATTATTCTCTCCGTCCCGCTTAGATTGTCTCATTTTTCCTTTCGGCGAAATCTCATTAAGATTATCTCATTTCAAATTTGGTTAACTTTTTATGGCTCGAAATCAGTTTTACTTTATTATTACTTTACCAATTAAATACCAATACATAAACACTTTTCTTATTGTCACTATTCTTGTCCTAATGTTAATGCGATGGAGGTGACTATGATTAAAGTTACTACTATATGTTTTTGCAACAGATTAAAGTTATTACTATATAAAAGTTACTAAACTTAAAGTTACATTAAAAAACAAAACTATTTGTAATCATAAATATGCAATTACTTATACTTATTTCATACACTAATTTCTAATAAATTCTTCAATTAGATGAATATTACTCCAAAACATACACATTATAAGATTTATGAACATCATTAGTTATTACTCAGCATTCATCGACAACCTTACATACTACATACGTAAGTGCTATTCCTGTCTGTCTGGCGGGGCCGGAGAGGAGGGTTGACCAGCCACTTTGTTTTGGAGCGGTTTCTGGTGGGTTTTTATACTTAAATTTTTTGAGCATTTTCCTCATGAAGTGTAGATTATCTTCACCAAATTTGAGCAAAAAACTCAATCAATAAGGCAGTTAAATGATTTTTAAAAAATAATTGCGCCAAAATGTACATACAAAAAAAAATTGATCAAAAATGCCACCGCAAATAACCCCAAATTGAGGTGGCCGGACCACCCTCTTGTCCGGCCTGACCGGAAAGGATTAATTCTCATACATACCCATAAGTATTACTACGTACATATTGGGCTTGAATGCTTGATGAGATCATACTCCGTATGTTTTAATAGGATGAAGGCCATCCACTACCTTAATTATTATATGATGCTTCAATTATCCAGATATGAGATATACGCCCCAATTGTTAATTGCTTCCATCATAGATTTAATTTTTGGATACTTAGAAGTAATAACATACACCGAATACGTTTTTATAATTTTTAAATGATATAACTACGTACGTCTAATGGTGTGGTGCATATCATGTAGAGGTAATTAAATTAAATATCATATGAATTTCCTACATTAGAAAAGAATAATTTAATATTGACAGAATTGATTACCTTGCTCTCCTATATTCCAAGATGTGTAAAGAACTACAAATTAATTGAGGAATCACGTATAGATGAGTATTTAATTGAGCAATCACGTGTAAAGAACTACTTGCCGGCCAAACAGTTGTTTTCTAGATGTGTATATGTAATTTATAGATGATCAATGTGGCACACTGGCACCGGTTAGAAATCGATACTTCGTTTCATGCACATAACCGTTTGATAATTAATTGTGGTGGAGGTTTTTTAAAATGTACCCGTAAAGTATGTTAGGTTTCCCTTTTTATATTAGTATAGATTACATCCGTCTTGTGATGAAAAAGACCATGACAAACAGCATCTTCGGCTTGAAAGGTTATTTTGTAACTTTACTTGAGTAGAGATGCTAAACTTGGTAATCAAGACCGATTCTTCATCTTCTGCGACTTTCACTTTCATATTCGTTATCCTCATAACCATGAATCTTGACTCCTCTTCTTTCACTTTTCAGGAGACCCATTTTCACTTTCCTTTCATTTTGATATTCCATTTGTTTTCCTTTGTGGCATGAAATCAGATCTGGAGCAAAATTCATTCGCAGATGCTCAACGATTAAACAAAAAAAAATACAATTTTATTTATGTAATGAGAATTGATGATACATAAAACATCATGATAGAGACATACTATGATGCTATTCTCTTAAATCAAAGTATTTAAGTAGTCCGTATTTTTTGTAAGAGAATATTATCTGAAATAGAACTAAAAATGTTTTAAAATTCCAAAATATGACTGCCATGTTTTTATTCTCAAAATATGATTAATTACTGCCATATTTTGGCAGTACCAAACTTCAAACATGACAGTATTTTCCAAACTTGGCAGTAATTACTCCTATTTTGGGAACAAAAAACATGATAGTCCTATTTTGGAATTTTCAAACTGTTTTATCCTATTTCGGGAACTTTCACCTTTTCTCATTGTGTGTTATCATCCTTGTTAATTAGTGAGCAGTTGCATTTACACGCAAGTACTGTAGTACTCCGTATAACTAAAACCAAATTCTTTTTAACTTAATTATTCTTATAACTAATTTCAGATTTGCAGGGCTTATTCATCTTATTCAAACATTAATCAATAAAACTCCAAGCTACAAATCCATGTTAGAGAACAGGAATAGAGTTTTTAAATTCTGAAAATCCATGTTATCTTTTAAAGGTCACTTCATCGGTTCTAGATGAATAATACATAATCTAAAGTATTTTAAAACCATCCTAACAATAACTTTTAAAAT